GAAAATTTAGTGCAAACACCGAACACAAGACTAAAATGCTGGAAAGGCCCCGGAAAAAGCGGATGTCTGGACACGCTATAATTAACTTAACATTCAGTTATTATATGGTTTATGTAAGGAATAAGCTAATGAGAACTATTTTTAAATCTCTTTATGTGGAATTTATTTGAATTTTTCATGTGGAAATTTCTGTATCAATCTTAATTAAAAGCTTGAAAACAATGAGTACTGCGTAATTACGATTTGGTTGAAGTTTTGTTAATAGACTATTTTGCTACATTTTTCTTCTGAACTTTATTAAGCAATAGAAACACATTGATTTGTTCATTCTTTTATAGAAACTGAATATTGTATAATACAGTAGATCATCGATTATCCGACCCCCGATTAACCGTCACATCGGTTAACCGACCGTTCTAGTGGGCAAATTCAAATGTCCGCTAGTGATGTGGTGCTACAATATTTGGCTATGTCTTGGCTACTTTAATAGTACTTTTACGTGTTTTAGCTGGCAATACTGGCTCGACCATGAAAGGGAGCCAGTATTTAAACCAGGCTTAATTTTCTGATTTTTAACGATACAATAGCAACGATTATTATTTTAAAAAATTTTTATTAGGCTTAACATCGATGAAAATTCAACTCGAAGTAGATTAATAGTAATATACTAATTACACGAGATATACAGTCGACCCCCCTATAACGTGGATTTCTATAACGGAAATTCCTATAACGTAGCGAAAAAATTGCGGCAGTATTCGTATAAAGGGACTCGTAAAACGTCGTCGCCGACTCGTGTCGCGACAAGATTGGTCGAATCTGGACTAATAGTGGATGAGCAGCCGAACTACTTTCCGCCGTCCAGCGCCACGCTACGGAAAGTTTAGGCGGGTAAATTGAGTTTGCTATTGTCTGTACAGTATTATATATAAATTATATATAAATTAGGTACTGTACATGTAATTATATATTAATTATATATAAATTAGGTACTGTATATATAATTATATATTAACTTAATTTATTGTAACTTTATTATAATTATATATATGCTTTCTGCCGCCTGGCAACACGCTACGGAGATTTTAGGCTAGTAAGTTGAGTTTATTATCGTCTGTACAGTATGTAAATTAGGTACCGTAAGTCTAATACAGTACTGTAATTTTATACATTTCTTGTGAAAGAAACATTTCTTATTCAACGGCCATAAAAATTATTTATATTAATGATGTCTCCAAAGGTCAAGTTATTTTTCTGCCAAAAATTCGTTATCAGAAATTGCGGCCGTCGTTTCGTGTGCTGTTCCGCGATGAAAACCAGCTTTAAGCAACGGCGTAGTCGAACGGTGCACACTCGGTAAGTAATCCTACAATTTTTTGTTTATAGCATAGTTTATACGGATTATTCCCAAAAAATTATACGTGTTTTGGAAATGTTGAGTCGAATTAGTCTAGAATCGGTTAATTTTATAGAAGAAAACCTTTCAAACAGCCTTAGTCCGTAAACTTCACACGTGTCGGGCTGTGATTGGCTCATGTATTTAAGGATTCCTACAACGTAAATTTCTTATAAAGTGGAACGTATCTAAGCGTTATAGGGGGATCTACTGTACTAATATACTATACTAATAATATATTTTTTAATATTTTTCGGTTATCCGTTTTTTCAGTTATCCGACCAACCCCAGTCCCCAATTGAGTCGGATAATCGATGCTCTACTGTAACGCTAAAGTAACTGAAGAAAGATCGTTTAAATAAAGTTTATTTTCCAAAAATATTTAAAAAATAAATTGTTTAAATATACTTTTTTCTCCTTGTAAATAGGATGGAATAAATATAGAATTTTCTTTTCCCGTAAACAGATTTTTATTGTATTAAAGGAGATACAGTATTTCTATTTCAATCCGTTAAAAGCAAACTGTCGTAATATATATATCTATTTTCAATAATATATATAATCGATTGTATATACATGCGTGCGTGCGTGCGTGCATGCACGTACAGTACATTAATATGTTTCCTTTTATTTCTTTACTAACTCGATTATGTGTAACTTATTTTTTATTTTATTACAAATCGTAAGATTTGTAATAAAAGTATCGAGTATTTCATAAAACTAAAATTTTCTAATATTATTTTTGTAATATATTTTATTTACAATCATGTAAAATGTCATGAAATCATTAAAAAAAATCCAAGAGTTTTGTGAAAAATACTTCAATCTCTGAAACTATTTTGTATCTATTAAGTAAATAATGTCAGAAAATAAAACGTTTCTATTTAGATATTTTGTTTAAAGAAAAGTAAAATATTACTGTATATTATGATTCTTATCCAAACCTTGTTATTCTCGAAAAAATAATAATAATAATTTTTTAATGATTAGTCTTGACCGTTTCAAATTTTAAAATTAATCAAAATTATATATAGGCCTACAGCATATAATGTTTATTTGTATTTTCCAAGAAATTAAAATAATATCGAATAAAACAAAATTTTTAAATCTAATTTAATCTAATAAAGATTTAATTTTATTTAGTTAATTATCATTTAGTTAAATTTAAATAAAGCCTAATATATAAAAATGCATTTTTAAAGTAAATTTCATATTATTTAAATTTAATTATCTTTTTTGTAATAACTCAAGTTTCTTTCAAGTAAAGAAATTCAGTTAAAAGCATTTTGTTTTCATATTATTCTTTTTCAATATACTCGTATAATTTTCAAGTTTCATCAGTTTGCTTCGAAAGCAAATCTTGTGTAATTGATGCCACAGAAGTTTTATGAAAAACTTCTTAAACTTTATTGTTATAAAACATGGCTACAAGCAATTAAAAGTTATATTTCTTATTTTGAAATTCTCAACTTGTATTATTTAGTGATTTAAAAGTTTCTGTAGAAAACGGGTATTGTGAGTATGACGTGATGGATTCGTATCTGTGGCTTGGAGACACGTCTGATGTGATGTACAGTACACATACTCCGTGAGTGTGCACAACATATCTTACGTGTTAACATGCCTACGCCACAGATAATGGGAAAGTACAGTACTTATATCTGATTTAAGATAAATAGCGCTCACTCATAATAGTATTCACTTTATAAAGTGATTCCTATTATGATTCTTAGGAATCACTATTCCATAATAGGAATATTATAAAAATTGTAGCTTCATTATCAATATTGGTAATTTCTCGATTGAATTTTCTAAAATATATCAAAAGAAAGTTAATTGTTTAAAATAATTTTTAAGTATTTATGTTTTATATATTGTTATGTATGTGTGTATTTACTCTATTTATTAGTTTTTTTTTATGTAGGTCATTTCCTTAAAAATTTAATTAAACACAAATTAATGTCAACGACATTATAAACACACATTAATTAACAATCGCTACATATTAATTTTCATTAATATGTAGCGATTGTTAATTAATATGTACGTCAATGAAAATATTTTATTTAAAATGCAAATAAGATCAATTAAAAAATTATGAAAAATTAAGTTTGAAATTGTTATTTAATAATTTTACAAAACTGAATGTAGATAATTTAGCAAATGGCACATTAATAGTAATATTAATTATATCTGTTAATATTGAACAACTCGTTTACTGTTTCACTTTACAAGGATTACTTAAAAGCTTCAATTAGTAACGCAATGAATAGTAAATGATTGATAAACTGATGTCGTTGAGAAATCGGAAACAGCAATCAATTCTTTAGAGAATCAGTTGAAAAGTGAAAGAATAATTTGTTTAAAATGTTACTAATTTTAAAATAATGAGGAAATTAAAATGTTCTTATATTTAATGAAACTTTTGTTATACTAAGTTTATTTAAAAACTATTTTTTATATATTTAAATAATTTTACCGTATTATTTATTAAATCTTTAAATTCTCTTTCTTCGTTTCTAATCACGTAAAACATTGTTTTTATATTATGATGAAGATGTTATAAAGAAATGTTAAGTAAATAAATAATATTTTAAATAATAATTTTTTAACATTGTTTATGTTTAAACTTGAAATATTGTGCCAATTGTATTGAATAATAAGCATTTGAGTGTATTGTGAAAGAGAAAATTATTGAAATATCAAATCAATATATTTACAATAAATAGAAATAAGTTATGAATTGCTTCATCTAAGATTTTCAATGAAGCGTAATTCAATACAATCACCGTGTTGAAAATTTATTTTCACATTCACATTTTCCAACGAAAATAAAAAAAAATTGAAGTAAATAGGAAGAGAATAGGCAAACTATAGAGTGGTGTAAGAAAAGCAATTTTTCTTGACAGAATTTGAAGTTAAATATTCAAAGTGACATAGAAAGCTCCGGAAGAAGCGGATTTTCTTTTTCTCTAGTACAAATGGATAAAAAAGAGTGAGAAGGATTCGGATTTATAAGCATTGACAAGTTTTTTGAAAGAAAAACGAAAAAAGTATCCTGGAATGTATGAGCTTTTTCTCGCTATCATTTTTGTCATTTTGAGAATGTGGTGGACATTTATTTTGTATCTATTTTTAAATATGTAAAAATATTTTTCGATTTCATTTATATTTCCAAATATTTTTGAGACATTTTCTGATGTAGATCTGTCAAAAATGTAACACAGAAAAGAAAATCGAGAATTATTCGGAACTTGTTTTAACATTTAAATTTTAATATAAGCCTATTAAAAATTTTAAACGATAAATCTAATATATCAAAATTTTAATATTTTATCAATAAAATTAATATCTTATAGACAATTATATAAATTTATTATTTAATTATTATAATACGGAACTGTACATAATAAACTTATTGAAATACACAAAGTATGTTTAAAAATTTTCAGGAATGGGTCAAAAATCAAAGTATGTTCACATGTAAAGAAATTTATTTAATATTTATCGCAAAATTTTCTTCCATTCATCCTATATGAGTCAAATACTCTATTAACTTGAATCGTTTACAATGTAAAGATATTTTTTAAAATGTTTACTAAAGAAAAAGTCATTACAATCGGGGAATAAGGATAGTTGCGAAAGAATAACAGATGCAACTTTAAGAAGAAAATTGCTTGAACCCACAAAATTCACAAGACGAATGGAAGGAAATTTGCGATTCTTGAAAGAATCTGATCTTTCTAATCGTTGGAGAAAGTGTGTATTGAAGCTCAGAGTGATTACTTTTTAAAAGATTAAACAAACATCCTAACATTTTTGATTTTCTGACTCATTCCTGGAACTTTTTAAAGATATCTTGTAGTTTTATATTAATTACGTATAAATAAAAATAAAAACAACAGTTAATACAATATTTGTCTTCTTAAAATTTTTCTTCAGAGTTTAGGATAATTTGAAAATTTTAATGCTTTATTTCCATTACAAATACAAGTTAAAAATCTATTTAACTTTTAAAATAGATTAAAAGTAAATTTTCATTTAAGATTAGTTTATCAGAAGTTCGTATCTATTGATCAATTGAAACTTGCTCCTTTTATTAATCCATCAAGGGCGACATTAAAGATTATTTTCGATAACCAATGGTCCAATGCCAACATCTGTTTATGCAATATCTAGTTAGTGTTTTTTGAAGCGTAAATCAAATTGAATAAGCTTTTCAGATTAAATTAATGCTTCATTAAGGAGAGTGTCGAACTATCCGAATTTAACTTTTTATTATTCTTTATTAATTAATAATAGCAGCGTAAAAACGTAGTAAACAAAATATTATTTAATATTCAATCTGTGAAAAGAAATAATAATAATAAATAGACTAACAGTTATGATGGAAAGATGAAATTTGCAATTGCAAACGTATTTGTTATTCTATTTCATTTGTTGAAGTTTTCAATTACAAGAAATAAAATAAAATTTTTGTAAACGTAAATTCTTTATTTAGTGATGCCAGTGCAAGTGATATCGAAAATTACATGTCAGGGAAATAAATAACAATATATAACAAATATTCTGTAGCAATTGACATTACAATCTAAGAAAAGCAAACAATGCCATTCTTCGAGTTGTTCTTTTGATTTTATCAACGAAAATTTAAAAGATTTTGTAAGAATACTTCAAATCGTGATGGTGAAAGAATGAATAACCAATGGTAAAAAAAAACTTTCAATTTCCTGGCAACATTACTTTGAAAATGACTTTTCTATCTGAAAATATCAAATATTGAATATATTTCAGATTCAAAATGCTTCTTTATGATCATAAATTTTGATCGTAATAAATTATTTCATGTTTAATCTAAACATTATCAACTCGGGTTAACTACGGATGTGAGACATTTGACTAAAAAGTGATATTTAAAATAATACCTAATTTTAATTATCTCTAACGTTAGAAAGTTTTATGTTTTGTATTTAGATTTAGTGAATTACATTAATCATCGTCATCATCATCATCATCATGAACCAATCCGAATTTAGTACATCACTTTTTGTCTCGTATCACTAAATTTTGAAAGATGCTTCTGATGGTTCCATTTAATTTTGGTCATCTCCTATTCTATTTACCTTTTGGTCTGTAAATAACAAATAATTATTTTTTATTTACAGACCAAGTTAAACAGGACAGAAGACGACCAGGAGGTAGATGGAGTGATCAGAGAGCTCTTCAAAATTGAGTGATTTGTGAGTCCTATATTTGGATTGGTGGATGGCGATTATTATTATTATTATTTATTGTCCCCATAATTTACTTGTGAGTAAGTTCTGATCCGAAATATAATCATAAGACTTTTTTGAATGAATATCCTTTTTTTTTTATTTGTGGTTTTGGGCCCCTTACCGCTCAGAGAGCACAAAGAGGCCAAGAATGTTATGTTATGAAGGGTGGTCTGGGGTTAGTGTCCCTAAATGGGCTCATAGAAGTCCCAAGTAGGGCTCATAAGATTTAGTCCCTTGTGAGGGCTCATAAAGTTACGTTTTATTTATTATGTTTAAATTTTATTCTGCGTGTTATATTTTCTGTTGTGGTTTGCAACTTACCTAATTTAACAATGTCCAAGAAGGGAAAGGTTGATAGAAAAGTTGCAGTATGCGACCCATCCCCACCTAACCTAACGTCTTTTGGATGATTCAAAGTGGTTGAAATAGGGAGTCCACAGTGAAGAATCCAGCGATAAAGATTTTCAGCTTAATTTGGAATAGAGAATTTTGAAGGACCTAATACCACTGCTGGTATAGCTATAGCCTTCCGGGAGGACTGTAAACTTAAAGGGGCAGCTGGTCCCCATTAGGGGAGAAAAGAGGCGGAGGAAACCCGGAAAAACTCCACCAGCCCAGCTGAGGGAAAAGCCAAAATTTGATTTAGAAGAGCAAAGGGGAGCAAAACGAAAAGGGGGATGCTGGAAAACCTTACCGAGAGAGGGTGAAATAGCATAGTAACAAATGAAGAAAAGATTCACCACACAATCTCCAACAGGTGTGTAGTTTTGTGTGGCGAAGGGAGCCATTGTTGAGCCTTGAAAAGTCGAGAAGTATATGAATATCTTTGTACCGATAAGTATAAACTTATTAATATTAAGGATATTTGTACAGGATAAATATATTTTTTTAATATGTAAGAAGATACATATGTTACTGTTGTCACTATTAAGCCTATTGTTGCATTTTATATTTTAGTAGGCAATTCAAAATTATAATTTTGAACTCTGTCGAACTATGTTTCTCACCTCATTGCGGGTCTAGCTAAACCCATAATGGTCTTCTAAAAAGATCCACTTAGTGCCCACAGGGTGATAAGTTTAAAAAAAAAAAGTCGTACCAATAGTTAGTTTGACAATGCTCACAATGGGTTCAGCCGAGTGGTGAAAGACGGAGCCTGATCCAGAAAAACCACTCTAAAAAATTTCTGGGATTTTTCGATCGCCAGGATTTGATTCCTGGTGTTAGAACTACTATAATTTAGTAGAACACAGGACCATCCGCCCTTGAATGTTTTAAAATAAATATTTATGTTCTTGCAGATGAAAAATTCTCATGAGAAATCATCATCACTAAATGTGTTAATTTTATTTAAAATTATTAATGATAAATCAGAAAATTGTAATTTATTAAGAACTTTTAAAACAAACTTAATTTAGATACAATGAGAAATTTTATGCAAAATGTTATTTAAAATATTTTTATATTAAAAGAATTTTTAAATAACTGAAATTATTATTCTTATTATTACTTGAAAACTCGTTTCTTGAAATGAATACGTTTCATTGACATAGAAAGTAATTATAGGAATTTCAACAGGAAATAATAAGGTATTGCGTTTTCTGTGACTGTTTTACGATGAATCAACAAATTCTAAAGGTTCGTGATGGGCGGTGACACAGTGACAGTCACTCACGAAGATCTTAACAGTACTCACGTAACTATGTTATAAAAATTTCATGTTTTTCAGACGAAATATGCTTAAAAGAATAATGTTACTTCCGATTTTATTATGAAAGAAATACAAATTTTATCCAATTTTCGACAATGTCATTTGAAGACACGTTAGTTATATGAATATAAATACAGATATAACGGATTTCTAAATGTATGCCTGTCATAGTCATCATGCGAATATAGGATATTCTTCGAGGAAGTAACAATATTTTTACAGCATGTTTTACAGACCTGAATATCCAAAACTTCTTTTAACCATAGCCCTTCAAACGCACTGTTTTAGCTCTAGAAGGTTAAAGTTAAAGTTTAGAGTAGCTACCCCTTAAAATGCTCCCCCGCGGCACCGCTAAGCGCTGGGGAATAGCCTCAATCTCGCTACCCTCCAGCTTCTTGCCTTCAGAACCTTGCGTTTTTGCCAAAACGTAAGGTTTGCTTGCATTTCTTGGCACTTTATTACAGCACAGAAGCTGAACGCTATCTAGATTGAGGCTTTTCTGCAGCGCTTAAAAGTGCTGAAAAGCAGTGTCTTAAAAGGATAGCTGCTCTACTTTAACTCCTTCTAGCATTAAAACAATGCGTTTGAAGGGCTATGTTTATAAGACATTTTAAATCTTCTAAGCCTCTAAAACACACTGTAAAATATTTCCATTTCCTCGCGAGACATCCTGTATATAAAAATTGATTTTTATAGGCTTTAATACAGTTTAAAGCTCATTAAAATTTATCAATATCACTAAAGTTTACTGAAACAATAAATTTCACTAAAAACACTAATTTTAAATCTCATTCGACAATGATTTTAATTTCAACATATTATTTACGTAAGAAAGAGAAAAATGTTTAAATGAAGTAAACCTAAATATACAGTGTATAGCATATTTATAAATTTAAATTATATTATTTAATACTGTACTGTACATATACGTCATTAATATTCAACTAACAAATTTAAATACAGTGCATATATATTAAATTATTGGATATATGAAACTATTTACTGACAATTAATGTTAATAATTTTGATTTATAATGTTAAATTTAATGATTATTTATTTAATTAATTTCATTTTATAATTGGGCTATGTTAGATTTATGTATAAATTTTAATTTATTTAAGGTATTGTTGATATATTTCAATTAATATTAGACTACAGTACTGTAATTTAATAAAACATATATAAAAATATGTTTTATTAAATATGTGTTGATGCAAAAGTTTCTGGAATTTTCTAGATTTTTACAATATTTATTTCAAAAACAAAAATAGTTTATTCATGAAAATAATTGCCATTACATTCAAGCACTTTTTTCCATTGATTAGGCAAGTCATACATACCTGTTGAATAAAACTCAGGTTGATTTGACTCAAAGAACTCTGTAAATGCGATTTTCTTCTCATCATCAGCAAACTACTGCAAGTATTGCACGGAGCGGAAGAGATGATAGTCGGATGGTGCATGGAAATCAACAGCTTCCAGGTTAAAGTTGACATGTAGGGTCTTGCGTTCATGAAGAAAATACATAACGTTCATCTGTGGATCAACAGAGCAAGATACTTAGTCAAAACTAAGTATCTTGCTCATTTTTCGCGTGGTCAAGTTTGGTTGGCTTCCACCAGCTACTGCAGCTCGTCATCCAACAGAAGTGAAGGTCATCCTGATTTTGACTTATCTGCGATTTTATATTGTCCAGCTTTAAATTTACTGAACTAATCGTAGATTATAGACTTGGAGATGGTCATCTTGCCAAACGATTGCACCATACGGCGATGAGATTTAGCTATTTTAATACCAAACTGATAATCGTAAAGTGCACATTTGCAAATTTAATCCGAGAAAGCGTTGACAAACTTGATATATTTAAAAAGTATTACTAAACAGAATGGCATTTTCATACCTCACAAGAAACTTCTAGATCCCATCTGTCAGAGAACAATTTTGAATATTCTAGAGATATCTAGAAAATTCCAAAAACTTTTGCATTAGCGCAATAGTCAAATAATCTTCTGACTGAACCTGACATAAGTTTGTATCAGAATAAAAGCTATTCTAAAGAAAAAAGCTGACAAATTTTTTATTGACCAAGTATTGATGCTTTCTGGTAAGAGACAACACGCAAAACTGAATTTATATATCGGTAAGAAGAAGCAAAGGAAACGAAGATTTCATAAGATCACGAATTGACTGAAAAAACAACTTTATTTAATGAAATTTTTAGATTACATGTGATCATTTGGAATATTTTAAAGGTTTCAAGTTTTCAGCATTGTTTTAGAAGAATGATTCAAATTGTAAATTCAGATATAGTACAGTACATGCACTCTATACATAATTGTGTACATACAGTAGACCCCCTGTAACGCGGGTTCATATAATGCGGCGAAAAAATTGCGACCGTATTAGTATAAAGACGCTAAAAGAGACTCGTAAAATGCGGTAAAACGTCATTGCCGACTCGTGTCGCGATAGGATTGGTCGAATCTGGACCAATAGTGGACGAGCAGCCGAACTACTTACACGCTACGGAGAGTTTAGGCGGGTAAGTTGAGTTTACTATCGTCTGTACAGTATATAGGCCTAAATTAGGTACTGTAAGTCTAATACAGTACTGTAATTTTATACATTTCTTATTCAACGGTCATAAAAATTATTTCTATTAATGATGTCTCCAAAGTTCAACGAATTTTTCGCAGAAAAATAACTGATCAGAAAACGCGGACGCCGTTTGGTGCGCCGCTCCGCGACGAAAACAAGCTTAAGCAATTGCGTGGTTGAACGGTTCACACTCGGTAAGTAATCCTACAATTTTTTGTTTATAGCATAGTTTATACAGATTATTCCCAAAAAATTATACGTGTTTTGGAAATGTTGAGTGAAATTAGTCTAGAATCGATTAATTTTATGGAAGAAAACCTTTCAAACAGCCGTAGTCCGTAAACTGCACACGTGCCGGGCTGTGATTGGCTCAGGTATTTGAGGATTCCTACAGCACGAAATTCTTATAAAGCGGAACGTATCTACCGCGTTATAGGGGGTCGACTGTATATGTACAGTACAGTACATATAATACAATGCAACAAGTTATTTCGTTTCATTGCCGAAAAACAAAAGCACGATTACTTAGTTTCCTTATTTATTTCTAATATAATTAATATAAAAAGTAACAGCATAAAGATTATAATGTTCTTTACGATTAAAAACTATTTTATATAGCGTATTGATAAATACGTACTTTTAATAAA